GAACTTTTCATCTTTATATTTACGTTATCTCAAGTAAGTTACATTATAATAATTAAAATCTTTAATACCCCTAAGTGCATTAGAAATTAGATATAGGTTTGCACTTAAAGAATATAAATTTATAAAATTTATATATCTTTACATACTCCAAAATCTTTGACAATGAGCCACCAATCCGGTTTAGATGAGCCCAAAATCACCAAAATCCAATCACAGGATCCGGAGATCATTAAGGTTTTGTATCACTTTATATATGTTTTAGAATTGGATAAACAATTCTAAATATATATGAAGTATTTCAGGCTCGTTGGAATCAAAAGTTATTCACTGTCAAAGATTTTAGAATTTTTAATATTATAGTATATAATTTTAAATATGCGCGGATATAATTTTATTGGTTAAAATTATATATATGCATTTAGAGAGGGTTTGCACTTAGGGGGTGTGCACTTAGGGACAGTGTTGTACATGGGACAGTTGGGGCATTTTGGGACAATTTTATAAATTAAAATTACTCAAAATTTTAAGATAATTTAATTTTTTTAAAAATAACTTATTAATTATTAAAACTTGGGACTTAGTGTACAACACTGCTTAGGGGGTGCAACTATATATTTATTTATTTATTTATTTATTTATTAATGAAATTTTGTTTTCACAGTTCTTCTTTAATTTTGGACCTAATACCACTACATTTGTTGTACCTGGTGAAATATTCCCAACTCGATATCGTTCAACTGGACATGGAATAAGTGCTGCTGCTGGAAAGTTAGGTGCTATTATTTCACAAGTTGGTTTCTTCAAACTGAAAGATATTGGTGGTGCACCCGGTTCAAATGCATTCGTGGATCACCTGTTCAAAATATTTGCTGCCTTTATGTTAACTGGTTTAATAGCCACTTATTTCTGTATACCAGAAACAAAGGGTACATCATTAGAAGACTTATCAAATGAAACTCAAGAAGGGTTTGTCAAGAGCAAACGTTCGGATGATAATTAAAATGCTCTATTTATAATATATTATGAACATTTGTGATTTTTAAGAGTTATGTATCTATAGTTTTTATTATCATATCCTGTTGAAACTATTCATTAAAAAAAAAAAATAATACCTATCGAAACTATTTATTGTTAAAATATATATACTGTATATATCATCACCTATCGCGATTATATCTTATTAAAACTATTTATTATATCCTATTGAAACTATTTATTATACCCTATCAAAACTATATTTATTAATATCCTACCAAAACTATTTTACATTTCGAAAAGCTGTGCAGGCCGTGTATTTCCTATAATCACGTGAAATTCCTAACCTAATGATCCTGTATCATCTATACTGCCTATAGCTATAGATTATAGATATATATAGTTTATTTTAAATAAAAATTTAATACAATATACATATATTTTCCAATATATAAATAATAGTACAAATATATAATATATAGTTTTTGCTTATTACAGTCAGGCATATTACCAAAAATGAACATCGATTCTAGATCGTTCCATTGAAATTTGATTGGCTGCTTTTTGCTAAATTCGGTTACATTTTGTGGCATTTCGCAATAGCTAACCATGACAAATAATTTTATAAAGTTGAAAGTTCAAAATTTCATGTATAAAAGACTCAAAAAAGTTTATAAGCTTTACTATTCTTTTCTACAATTTATTTTGCTGATTCCGATTCGTGTAACCGACTGTATTGTGATATTTGAATTTAAACTAAATTCTTGTGATATTTGCGTAAATTTTAAACGGCGATGTGATACGATCTTTCATGAAGTTCCATTTACTATAATTAGCTAACAAATAATATTTTTAAATTCCAAATTGATAAAAAAAAATAAGCGATCGATTGGGTAAAAATCATCATTGATTCTTTACACAAATTAAAAAAAAAAGGGAAGCCCCGTGTCATTTATCCGGAAGAACCACGTTTTTAGAAGTCCGCGAACAAAGTGAATGAAAAATAATTATAGATCACAATAATCGGAATTTGTTCAACATCTCCCCTATTTAAGGAGTAATCTCCAACTTATGCCTTTAGTAAATCCAGCTCTTGGACCACGATTTTCAACATCATTGATGTTCTAAATTAGTATCTAACTCCAATTTAATTAATTATAGTCTGCACTACTGCTATTTTAATAAAATTAAGCTTTTTTTAAATATGCAGTAACGGTATCACAGAACAGAATTTTAATGTACTATTATGTGTTACTTATCTATTCGTCGTAGAATTTCTTGATGATACTCATTTAACTTATTTTCTGTCATCTAAGACGTAAACCTAAGCGTGGTAAGAAAAGTGGGTTTTCTTAATATCTTTAGAGTTAGGTTCATCGAAAAGCATAGGTGCGCTTGGTCATGTGATTGGATAATTCCGGACAGCCAAAGGAGCCGGAAATGAAATCAATTAAAGGACTTTAAGTCCGCAGAATACATTGAATTGGTAATTTTAAGTAATTAGTAATTTTAAGTAATTTGAACTGAAACGATGATATGCTCCCGGAAGATTAGCAAGTGAGATTGCGCCAGGTATCATCGTAACAGTAGAGCGAGTGAGAAGCAGCATCAGCCGGTGGTTTCCCGCCTGCTCGAAGCAGGCCGGCTGTTAAATAGGAAAATGGCAGAATCAGGAGACTGTTCCCCTGTGTGTGGTGGGAAGGGTTGGGTCGAGAAAATGCAAGTTAAATGAATTGAGTTTTTATGAGAGAGAGCGTGTGAAATTCCACTGTTCTCGACGACCCTTTTATATTAGTCATTTGGTGGCTTTTGATCGTGCTGCATGAATTTATGGTCTGTCGCTGATTTCTTTACCGATCGAACCTTGATGCGTGTAACTGGGCCGGGTTAGGCACGTGTGATGTGGTCACATGACCAGTGCTCCCTGTCTTTTCGATCTGTTGACCCTTGTCAACGTGCAATATATCACATAACTAGAGCATATCTAATACGTAGCCAAAAGCCGTTCAATAATACATTACTTAAATACTCTATCGTTAACGTTAAACTTTATTTTAAACCGATGATATTACGTTAACTACAGTATCAATTATATCATAAATAGTTACTTAATATTATCATCCCATCCTTAATAAATTGTATCACGCACATTATTTTAATTCGCTAAAACCCATCTTTTACATTCATAAATACCTAAACCTTCTCTTACCATAATAGACCTCATAACCTCTCCTTATATCCTTTCTAATTTCTTTACCCACTCTACTTCAACAACTATAAACCTATTAATTTACTGTTACATGTTCCTCCGTTAAAATCTAACTACTCATAAATCATTTATTTCTTACATGACAAATAACTCACTGCAACTGCATCCTGTGCAACGCGAACCTTGTTAAATATCTATAACTTCTTGATTAACAAATATATCAGAGATATTGTAATAATACATACAGTAGAGTTGCATTAAATAATTTTCGTAGTTGGGTTGCAGATATGGTATCTATATAGTATAGAATCTGCATATATACAAGTTATAGGCGAACTACTTAAATTAGACAACAAAAATATACGTGTGGCTAATATGTACTCGACTATCTTGAATTTCTATAAAGAATTCTATTTATTCATGTTGGATTCAATTTCAAGAATCCAGCAACATTCTAGCACTATAAGCAATTATACATCAATAAAATAGATCGATATTACTAAGTATCACACAATTTTTCATATATCGTACGTACGTATTAGGAATTTGATACATTACAGATTTTCACGTTACACGAATGAAATCAATTCAATTATTGCCATATTACATATCGAAATCAATTTAACGTTAATTACTGCTAATATATTTATTAAATTTAATTACTTTAAAACGATGCAACTTATTGAATACCCGAAGAATTACCTTGAAATTTTCACAAGTAACTTATTAA